CATTATCCTAACTTTGATTTCATGGAACAACGTATTTCTCATGCACAAAGTTTAAAAAAACAAAGAGAAGAGTAAGGACATTTAAAAAGGTTAACAAAAATACAAACCTTCCTAAATACTCCAATTGTTTTAAATAAAAGAGCAAACAACACACCTCATAGCAAAAGAAAGGGCAAATATAACAAAATATAATATGGTAGAGTTACCAGTCCTAGCAAGAAATGTGAATGGGCTTAACTCACCTACTGAAATAAAGATTCAATTTGGATCACAAAATAAAACTCAAGGAGTTATACAAAACATAGTTAAAACACAGCAAATCTGGGAGGCTAAAATGAAAATATGACCAAAGTATACCAAGCAAATGGGAACAAAAAAGAGAGTAAGTAGGGGTGGCAATCCTGAGATAAGGCAAGGCAGAATTCAAGCCTCAAAGCATTCATACAAAGAAAGACACTTTTTAATGCTAAAAGCCACAATCCATGATGGAGATAAAACAAATAAAAATATATTCACATGAATATAACATAGCAACCACCTTTATGAATAAAAAACTACAAGAGATGCAAGGAGACATAGGTAGAAACACACTAATAATAGGAGACTTTAATATAGCACTCTCAGTGGTATATTACACTAGGTGAACCAAAATAAGAAGTTAGAAGGTTTAAACAGCATAATCGGCAGGGTAAATCTTAAGGGTATTTCTCAAACTTTACACTCTGATACTAGAAAAAAAAACATTCTTCTCAAGTACATACACTATAGTCACCAAAAATAATAATATATTATGTCACAAAGAAAACATCAGTAATTTCCATAAAATACAAACATTATAAACAATACTCTCTGATCGTAATGCAATAAAACCAGAATTTACTAACAAAAAGAAAAAACAGAAAGGCCCATCCACCTAGAAATTTTAAAACCTATTGAACTACTCCTGGTATTCTATAACTAAAATTATAGATTTTTAAAGAAATAATGACAATGAAAACACTACATATTAGATAGATTTCATGGGGTGCATTTAAAGCAGTGATCAAAGGGAAATCCATTGCACTAAATAAATTTACCAATAAAAATTAAAGAATAAAAATAAATAAATTCATTTCCATGGTAAAAAAAAAACACACCTGAAAAATGACAAGGTAAACCAAAAGAAAGCACAAGGAAGGAAATAATAAAGATAAAAGTAAAGGAAGAGAATGAGAAAGAAAATAAAAAACGAGATCTAAGTAATTATTCAAAATTCTGTCATTTTTGAAAAAATTAAAATATTGATAAACTATTATATAACTTGGTTAAGAAAAAACAGAAAGCACAAATATACAAAATAAGAAACGACAAAGGGGAAATAACCATTGAAATAGAAGGAAAAAATTTTAATCACAAGAGATTACTTTGTGACCCTCAATTTAATAATAAATTTGAAAATCCAGATGAAAGGGATAATTTGCTAGAAAAATACAGATTATTAACACTGACCCCATTTGAGTTAGAAGAAAGCTTAAATAAACCAATTTCCATAGAACAGAGAAAATCATTAAGGAAATAACAATTTATCCCATGAAAAAGCAACAGGCCCAGATGGTTTCATAGGGTAATTCTAAGAAACCTTCATGCACCAGATAGCCTCAATGCTCTATAAATTATTCCAGAGCCAGTATATCACACACACAAAATATCAAGCCTATAGGAAACTTTCAGAGAAGATGAACTAGCCAAAGAGACTAGACGCTATATCCTCTGAGTTAGGAGGAAACCCTGGAGCATAGAGTCTCAGAAACTAAAGGATGTTTCAAGAAAGGAGACTTTCATGGCAAAAAGCTGCACAGAGATCTAACAAAAGGAAGGAAAATGCAACCACTTGGCTTCAGTGGAAGGGAAGGAGACTGAGAAAGCCAATTATTAACTCTTTCAAAAACAGTCTAGCTGGAAGGAAACTGGGTTGCAGCTGGATGATAGGGATCTAGGGAGGAGGCTTCACAATGGCAGCAACTTGAGTAGGTTTATTGATTAGGAGGGACTATATGCCCGGCACTGAGGATATATTGTAGAATTAATGACAGTCAGAGATGCATCCAGGTCCAATGAATTCAATGTTTCCTTAATATCAACTCCAAATAATATAGTCAGGTTCTCCCAATATTCCACATTTACATATTACCTTCTTCAATGGTCCAAAGTGAATTTTTATCTGCAGTCACATTTTATGTTACTTTGGCAAACATTACTGCTGGTGACTGTAGGGGTGAGGCATACAAAGTTGGAAGACTATTGGGTTGTCGGAAAAGTCATGACGTATTTTTTGTTTTTCGTTGCAAAAATGCGTCATGACTTTTCCGACAAGCCAACAGTTTATTTCCTGGAGATGCTACGTCTTCAGTGGATACGAAGGATCACAGGAGTGCCAGAGCTTTCTGGTTCACTGAGTGTGCTGCAAGTACTATCTCATTTAATCCTCATAAGCCTTTGAGGAAGCTGGAATTACCTCCATCTCATAGATGAAGAAACCAAGCCTCAAAGAGGTTAACCACTCTGCTCCAGTGAAGGACCTGAAACTAGAATCCAGGTTCTCAGACTCCAATACTAACACATCCTGTCCACCTTGCAACTCCCACCTTCAGAAAGATGACCCTGAAGAGATGGCCTGGTCATTTGCACAGATGCTCAGTCAGCAGAATTGGGCTTTAGCACACTCAAGAATAGTTGACATCCTGCATCACATCTAAAATTGCTGTCTAAATTTGGAAAGCAGCTTTTATGCCCTCTAGCTGCCTGGACATTCCGTAGTCTCGAGGACACAAAGGCTATGTTTTCTTTACCTTGATCCCAAGGACTGTGTTTTATTTAGCTTTGTATCTGTCCCCCTCAACTTTATAAACAGTGCCTTTAAATATTTTCTCCTTCAACATCTGTGTAGATTCATTCATTCACTTAATTTCATAACTCTGATGTTTTTAATATAATCTAGGGCAGCAATATAAAACTTCAAATTTAAGGAGTGAAAGAGTGTGGGGACTAAGGGTATCACAGAATAGATTTGAATTCAGAATTACTTTAAAAAATCAAGATACACGTACTTTTGTGCTCTGAAATTCTTACAAGATGACTAGCAACAAGACAAAGTATGCTTAAATGTACTTTTCCATAAATGTCTCATTTGACCCTTAAAACCACACTGTAAGAAAAGTAAGGCAAAATGCTTTATAATCTCGAATTCAGAGTTGAGGAAGTAGTCCCTTAAAAAAAGGTTAAGTAACTTGTGCAAGGGATTCAGGTGCACTGGAATTCAGGCAAGTCCTGACTTCAAATCTCCTGCTCAATCTATGATGCCTTTGCCTCACCTAGATAACCTTTCTTTACTAACCTGGGTAAAAGTGGAATAAAAGATGAGGAACTAAAACGCTATCAACAAATAAGAAAAAAAAGGGGGGGGGAGCTAGCTAGAGAAAAATACCTGTACATGACGAGAGAAGAACATAAAATGGCCCCAAATTGTTCCTATAGAAATGCTTTAAATGTTGCCTTTTGTTAGGGTGTGGAAAAGAATGTTCACAGATTGTTGGTGGGAGTGCAAAACAGCACATCCTTTCCAGAGAGAAATAGAGCAATTCACATTAAAAAAATTGTATCATCTAGGAATGTACACTAAGAAAGTAATCATGGATATGCAGATTTTACATTTCTCCAACAATGTGTTTAAGTAGTGAAAAACTGGGAACAACCAACTAAATAAATTACTACAGCCATATAATGGCATGCTATGTAGTCAGAAGAAAAATGGTTACCAAAGAGAATCCACTTTAGAAAAATTCATGCATTCATCTCTGCATAGAAAAAGACTGGAGTTGTATACCCAGTGCAACCATATTCACAATGGTTACTTGGAATGGTGAAACTGGATTTTCTATTATGGTTTTGTGTTTTAGAAATTTTGTCTGTTACTAAATGCTCCTAATAAGACGTTTTAAAGACCCCTGGGGGGTGTGAAACAGCGGGACTTTCGAAAGAAAATTTTAGTAGCCATTTTAAAAAAATACCATTAAAAAGTAAGGAATTACTATAACATTACCGTTAAAATAGGATTGAATTAAAATGTTGTACACCCGCAAGTGTTACCTCACTAAAAAAAAAAAATACCGTTGAAAAATAAGCACTCCTGAATCCACACGAAAATCTTGTTTCAAAATTTTTAATTTGTTATCAGTTCGCTTTCAGAAAACTGCTACGAAAGGTTGTCTAACCAGAAGTCGGAGAGACCTTCCTGATTTCTACCTGTAGTTTTTACTTTGTTCCAGAAAAGCATCTCCTAAAAGGGGCAGCTCTAAAAGCACCTAGGCAGGAAAATAAATATCTGGAAGGCTAAGTTTCTCTCCCGTTTCTTTTCCTCACGACCGACCGACCGACCGACCGGACAATCCGGACAGTGACTGGCCCAGTTTCTTAATACACCCTAGAGAAGCACATGAGATGCGCCAGTTTTCGGTATACGTTTCTAAAAAAAAAAAAACTTTAACTTTCCAATGCAGGATAAAGAGCAGCCTTCACTACTCATTCTGGACGTTAGCAGACGAAGATGCCGCGGTGCGGCAGGAGCGCCTCAGGAGAAGGACAAAGCATGGGGATCCTTGGCTAGAACCCGCAGGCAACGCGTCCGGGGCCGCCTCAGAGACAAGGGCACCGCACCGTCCCTGGACACCACTCCGCCCGTCCCCATGGCAATTCCCAACCGCCGGGGCCGCAGCCGGCCCGACGACGGGGAAGGATAGGGGCCGCGCGCGGCAGCAGGTGCCCGGGTCGCCGCGCCTAAAAGAACGCACCGGCCCAGCGGCCTGAGGCAGCGGCAGGGAACGGTTGCCCGGGAGTCCGAGCCGGGCCGCCGCATCCTCCCCGCCGCCCTAACCGCCCCAAGACGTGCCCCTCGCGGGCAACGGACACGCCCTCCTCACGGACCGGAGCCTCCTCGCGCCGTCCGCCCTCCCAGGCCCACTCACCCGGCCGCCACTACCACCGCCGCCACTGGCCCCTCAGGCCTCGCCCCTCTAACGGCCGCCACCTTCCGCGGCACGTAACCGCAACTACCTCAGACGGGCTGCGGGACCCGGAACCACTTCCTTCCGGAACCGCCTCGCCCCGCCCTGGTCCCGCCCACTGTCCGCGGCTTCGCGCTGGGCAGGCTCTCTAGACCCTAGCTCTCAACTCTTTCTCTGCCAAGCGGCCCGGCCCGCGCAGATCCGGCCCAAGCGCATGCGCCCTCTGCCGGCCGTTCCCACCACTGCCGCTTTGTCCAGAGCGCGTGCGCCGTCTTCCGCTCTATCGGCGAAGCAAGGACTGCATTGGGTGTTCCAAGTCCATGGATCCTGGCGGTTGAGGGTCAGGGAATAGGGCTAACCCCTCAGTCAGGGCCAGGAGCTTGGTTCCGTGGGCCATCCAGCCTTGTGCAGATGGGCACACAGGAGGCAAAAGTGGCCTTCCAGCCCCTGGCTTGGCCCTTAAAGCCCTCCAGAGCTCCAGAGCCAGCCCACCTGAACGTGCACCGCTGTGGCCTCTCTTCCCTGCCTACTCAAGCTCTTAACCTTCCCCATGGCGTCAAATTAAGCTTCTACCCAGAAAACAAAACCGCTCCTCTGGACCTCCTAAATAGATTAACGGTACCAACATCTCTCTATCATCCAATTCAAACTATCCACTCATTTTTGTCTGCTCTCTTAAGCCAACTCTTGACCAACTGAGCCTCTCGGCCGGCCCTCTGTCTGCTCTCTCGATGTCTCTCCTCCTGCACTCCATCCACCAGCCCCCAAAGTAGTATGTCCTCCCTCCCGGAGCTTTCTCACTTGACAATTTGACATTCCTTTTATCCCTTGCAAGATTTCTCTTGCAGGGTCCACCCGATCTGGTAATACCACTTTTTATCGTCCCTGTCACTGTCATCTACTGAATGCAGTTTTCTTCTTCTGAATTACTGTCATTATCCTGACAAATGCAACACCCATGACTGAGCAGTGTTTCCTTAGCTTCCTCAACCCAGATGACTTACTTCTACTCTCCTTTCTCTACCCGTTCCCAGGCACATATTCTAGAAAATCTAGACATGCATCACTTTATACTGTTCCATCTCTAAAATCTTAAGTTTACAGATCCCATTTATTTGGACTTAACAATCCTCATCCTTGCAGTCCTATCTCTCAGTCCCAATATCCTTATTCTTCAAAGACCCCAGAGCTCTCATGTCCACTGAACCTTCTATGTAACATCAGCCACTCTTATAAGTAGAGCCCCTTGAATTGCCTTTTGACAATCCTAATATTAAACAACCATCTTAAAACACTCCAGTTATCTGCATTCTCCATTCCTACATCTGTGTTTCCAGGCACTGCTTGGGAGGAAAAAGCCACACAACTATAACAGAATGATGCCAAGACAAATTTATTGGAGCCTCTTAGGAATCCTGTCATGTGACCTCATTTTCAGTAATTGCTGTTACTAACCCTGCACTCTCTTTAAGCCCCATACCCATGATCCTTTTCCTCTCTTCGTACATGATTTTACTTCCTGTTTTGCAGAGAAAATTCCTCAGCATTATATTACCTGGTTCATACTTACCTCTCTAGCCTCTCTCCTCCTTGTACTCAATGCTCTGGCCATATTGAAATATTTGCACTTTAAAGGGAATATTGCTTTTTCCACTCAGTTGCACATACTGTCCTTTCTGTCCGGTGAAAAGGTGTTGAGACCTCTTTATCTGCATACACATAGCTTTAGTGCTAGATTTTCTTCCGTTCTACCTTCAAGAATTGTTTCTGCTCCATTTGTTCTGGTCTGTCTCTCTTTTAGGAAAAGCAATTGTCTGTGGTAGTTCTGTTTTTATCATTTTCATCTCTTTTTCCCTTTTTTTGGCATTCTGGTAGATCTCAAATTTGCTTTCAATATTAATGATAAAATTTCCTAAAGCATTATTTGTGCCTCTGTTTTTCCTTAAATTCTGTTATTGAGATTTTCATCTCCTTGTATCGGTTCCTCCTCCGTTTCCCCCACTTTCAATTCAACCTATTGACTTTCTAGCTCATCCTTTCATTTCCTTATGAAATTTTGTTCTGGTTTTATAGAAGGACCTTCTTGCAAAAGGATGCTAAATTGATCATAAAATCTTTATTTTGGATTTTGTAGTCAATCATTTTCATAAGTATGCTCTTTCTCTTCCATGATTAGTTTTTGTGTACTTCATTTTATATGTGTGTGTGTGTGTAAATATACATACATACACTTTTGACTCATCCTTGAAAAGGGCGATCTTTGTCCAGACTTATTATTGGTTAATGGACAGCACAAGTAGATGGCCCTCACCGTACATGCTGTCTTCTTGTGTGGACAGAAAAGTTAAGTAGTTTGCACAAGGTCGTGTGGGAGAAGAACAAACTATCCTCTACCCTTCTAAGTTCTTTCAGCTGGTTGAATAATCAAATCAAATTGACATGAGGAAAAAAAAATTGACCTGAGACAGATAAATAAGGGTAAAAAACCAACTTGAATTACATATATCCATATGGGAACCCCACATATCTAAAAGTCAGACAGAAAGATAAAATGAGGTATGTGAGGCATTCTGAGATAAGGATGAGGTAAGATGCCTTAAGGTTTCAGAGGAGAGGAAGGTCATTCTCAGGATGATAAGAAGAGCAGATATTGGGCAATTAGAAGTTTGCTCTGCCCTATGGATAGGTAAAAAAAACTTATTTCTGGTGATAACTCTTATTATGGACAAGGCCCCACATTTAAATTCTTTAAGGGAGAGGTAAAAGTTTCTCATGAGCCTGCAGGGTCTCGACTGCCCTCAGCTCAAAATAACACATCAAAATAACAGGCCAAAGTGACACATCTTGGGGAGGCCTTTTCTGAACCCCTTTAGTTACACAGCTCTTGGTGTGTATATGAATAGCACACACGCACACATACTCAGAATAAGCCTGAGAGAAATGGAATGTTATCTGCCTTTCCATTTATTTTATTATTTTGTTGCAAAGCTAAATCTGCTATAGAATGCCGAGTACGCTTAATACAGGATTCTCTATTAGTAAGAATATTGTGCTATTTTAACAGCAATCCCAAAATCTCAGTGGCTTATAACAACAAATGTTTATTTCTCACGTATGTTACAAGTCCATCGTGGGTCACCTTTGGTTCTTCTGTCTGGGACCTAGGCTGAGGGAATAGACCTTATCTGAGACATTACTGGTGTCATATCAGAAGAAAAGGAGCAAGAGTGGGGCCGTGTGCTAGATCTTAAAGTTTCTGCTCTAAAGCTGAATCAGAAACTCTGGGAGTGGGGCTCACCATAGTTTCAACAAGCCCTCCAGTGGGTTCTGAAGCATGCTCAAGTTTGAGAATCACTTCTCTAATGGCTTGTATTCCCTGTATACCAGAAGATGGACATAGAGGCTTGATGAAATTCAGTGATTTTAAAACTGCTAATTCTTAAACCAGAAAAAAAAGTCAAATTAAAAAAACACAAAGAGGGACTCATGCTTTGATACAGACTTAGACCAAGTGCCCACTGTCACTGTCATGATTTGGAGGGACACTGCTTCTGGGGAAATCTGCCAGCGGCTCTGACATGTATCTCCAGCCACCCTGCTGTATTGCTTTGTTTTTAAAATGCTGACTGATGTGAGAATGAGATAATTAGGGAGAAGTAGGACAAATAGCTTTCTCATCCCTTGACAACGCTGTTGGCCCAGATTTTTTTCATAGGTTTTGTATAAATGGTTTGCATCGTGTTGGTTGTGTCTTCAGCATTAGTCCTAATAACCTTGGACTGACTGAACCAGGTGAGTTTTCTCTTTCCTTCACTATCTGACTTTGGTTGTTTTCCTTAAAATACTGATAATGAAATGCAATGTAGAATGCTTAGCTGGCTCTGTTTTCTTCTTTTTCTTCTGTGAGATAGGCATTTTTGGTGGATGCTGTCCTTGCTTTACCTTTACTTTTTTAAGGGCTTTGTCAACAGCGGAGGGCAGACAGAAATGATTTATATTGTTTGGAAGAAAATGTTTTTAGACAGGATTATGCTGCAGATTCCTTTTTGCGTATTCTAGTCACTGCCGTTATGTCTGTTTTCCTACTGAGATGGAGGACAAATTTCTAAACAAGATTTGGTAGTTGCTACCAGCCCACTGGTCCCATAAATTATTTCTGATGAACTCTTTTGTAATGTAATATGTGAAGTGGCTTGGCCCTGGTTCTGCAAGTCACATAATAATTGTGGTTTTAAAACAATGTGTCACAACTCAGCGATTATTTTGAAAAAAGAAATTTTGGATGTGGACTACCTACATTGATGCAGAGCAAAACAGAATGATGAGATTAAGTTTAAAACTTAATTTTACTGCAAAATAATTTTTTAAGTTTATTACTTCCCTTATTAAAATCTTTAGTGCTCCCCACAAAGCTCTTCCCCAAAATCCTTGATAAATTGAGTTCATATAGCCCTTCCTAACAAAGCAGTCTGGTTTTGGGTCCTGACACAACCCAGACACCATTTCAAAAGTCATTAAGTTCTCAAAAAATTTCATTTGCCTCTACATTTGCTTTAATTCCATATTTATTAAGTATCCCCACAGTTTCTTCTTAAGTTTCACACCAGTTCTCACTCTCCCTTAGGCTGGTAGGGAAAGAGAGCATAATGGACTCTGTGGTAGATTTTATAATAATATAATCCAAGTATTTACTGACCCATTCTCCCCAGGCCAGTGAACAGTGAAAATGACATATGTGACTCGCATTATATTGCCATTGGACACCTCTAATGTAAGTCATTCATGGCATGGATAGATAACTATCCGCCAAATTACTTGTGCTCTCCCTTGCATAATATAGCAATATCTTTGGTAAGAAGTAAACCAGCCAGGGCCTACAAATCCCAGTATCCCTTGCATCTAAGTGGGGCCATGTGACTGATTCTTGCCAATGAAATGTGAGTGGACATGGTATGAGTCCCTTAGAGGCCAAGGTGGTTGGGAAGCAGTGTGTCTTTTCCATACTCTTTCCCTATTCTGTCAGCTTGATGCAGAAAAACATAAAATTGGAAGATGCGGGAGCTATGAGATGGAGGAAGCCTGGTTCCTGAATTACCACTCAGAAGAGAATTGTAATAAAGCACATCTGTTTTGAACTTCACATGAGGGAGAAAAAACTTCTATTGTATGCGAGACGTTCTGCATCTTGGGGACGGAGGTGTTGTTATAGAAACTAGCATTACCTTAACTAATACATGTGATCATCTCCTTCCCTTTGGCCAGTGATTAGCATACGGGTCAGTGTAAGATCTAGTACTGGCCAATGAGAAGCAGAAATCTGCTGGGAGCTTCCTCTCTGGTGGAAGGAGGGAGCCGTACAAGGAGCAGCCTGCCACTAACTTCTTCACACCTTTGTCCACAATGGAATGAGGATGGGACGCTAGTGCCATGGCAACCTTCTTAAGAGCCAACAGACGCAAAGAAGTGCTGATGTCAGTGAATCCTGATGTCATTGAGCTGCCTTTGGATCTTGTTATGTATTGTGTGATTGATAAATGCCCTGAATGTTGAAGCCACTTTCTGCTGTGTATAGTGGAACCATCCAAACTGGTATATGTATTCTCAATTCTAAAAAAACCATTTATTCAACAATGATTTATTGTGGGGCTACTCTGTGACAGGTGCTGTTCTAGGTGCTGGGGATTCAGCAGCAAACACAAAAGCCAGGATCCCTGAGACTGTCATCTCATGACAGAATGTGGGTCTGGCAGAAAGATAATGCAGATCAGAGGCCATGAGTTTTAATTCATAGATTTCTTCAGTAACAGCTGCATTTATTCACTCATGACTATATACTGAAAACCTGTTAGGTGGAAGGAATATGGCAGCCCTGCTCTCAGAAGGCTTACAATGAGGGAGATAGACATTAATCAAAGTAGCACACAAAGAAATGTTTCATCACAAACTGTAATAATATGAAAATGTGTAACAGCAGACCTGACCTCATCACCCATCACAATTGCAAACAATAACTTTGTAAATTGTCTATTGTCTCTCTTCCCTACTAGACTATGGGTTTTAGGAGGGTGGGGATATCTCGCCTATTCTCTGCTCCATCCCATCCTTAGCAAAATGCTTGACATGGAGTAGGGTGTAGGGATTTACACAGTTGCTTAATAAATGAGCATTTATGACATGGGTTTCCTCCTAAATGATACACACAAAAAACATCATACCATCTGTGCTTCTAGACGGAAGGGGCAGGTATTCTGCTGGACTGAGCAACAGATACATCAAGTGCTCTCAGAAAAAGATTCCCAGGGATTTGCAGTCATCAGTGACTTCTGGTGAAGGAAGCTGGTTGAGATCAATGGGGAAACTTGCAAATATAGGAGCTGTGTAGGCTGGCAAGAGCCTCTAGGGGTTGGGTGTGTGTGTGATCTCCCCAGGCAGGGACTTGGAGGTGTGGTAGGCCAGGGCAAGCAAGTCGCAAGTCTCCAAAGCAAACCTAGGGCTTGGAGCGCAGCTGTGCACTTCCTGGCTGTACGCGATCTTGGACAAGTGACTTCACCTGTCTTGGCCTTCATGGTAAAGTGAGCATGGCAACAACAGTGTTTATCTCAGAAAGTGGTTCTTTAGGTTAAGAGAGAGAAAGCATGGAAAGCCCTTAGCATGATGCTTAGTTGGCTCAGGTCAGGTTCTCCAGGAACAGACTCAGGGCAATTAGCATGTAGGGAGTGCGTGGGAAGTGCTCAGTGCGGTCTCAACAAAGCTGTCTGGTGAACCCACAGGGAGCTCTGGAGCTCAGAAGGGCTGGCCCATCCGGAGACAAGGGTCTTTGTACATGGAATTATCCAGCTATTGGATACAGGCTGACCATGTGAGGGGGTTTAACCTTGGTGAGGCAGCCTCCTTCAGGAAAGGGTAGTTCTCAGGGAGGAACTCCACCAACAAGACTCAGCAACTGTACCTCCGGCATCTGGTAGGAGACAGCTGGAAAGACAAATACCTCAGCCCCAAAGCGGGGAGGCCCGTCAGGTAGTAAGCCCTGACATTCACTATGCCAGCATTTCACACGAACCTTCAATGCCATCAGAGCAGCTGTTTAAAATTTCCCAAAGCCTGCTGAGGAATTAAACCTTCCTCATTGCCAAAGTATAACTTTCCAGAGGTTAAAAGCATACTTGTGATATAAAACATAGTGAGCATATAGCAAAACTGTGTTTAACTCATTGAGGAGCAGGATGACAAAGCTGGATCAGAGGAGGACTGGGAACTGACTGGTATACACACGCTGATGTAGGTCTGCACACATTTAGTGGGGAAAAGAATGCTGGAATACGATTGCAAAGTTACATACAAAGTTACACACGAAGTTATTTAATGTCCTACAGGGCCAAACAGACACAACCTTTGGAGTCAGCTTTTCTACAGGACAAGTCATGTGCAACTTTCTGCCTACAAGTGAGTGACTCCAGAGGCTGGTTCCTAGTCCATAGCACATGGTCAGTCATAGGAAGTCACATCCCCCCTAGACTCAGCGGCCCTTGGAGCTGGCTCACTGAGACCCACTCTAGCGGGGCTTTGAAAGGGTGCATGGTTCTCTTTTGCCCTTATTTCCAAGTTTTGGTTAATTTCCTACTATTGGTGAATGCTGAATACCTTGTACCAGTGATGGGGACTGGCACCACACAGTGGTGGCCCCTGAAAACCCTTTGAAAGGCCAAGTCCCCTGAACAAATGGGACTTAGTTTCCTCTTAGGGGTACTAGTAAGACTCAGTTTGTTCTAAAATAGCCTTTCAGTTGCACCCTGGGGACTGCATTCAATCCAACAAGCTCTCCGGAAGCATGTCTACTGTGGCTGACCTAGCCCCTTCCTGGCTATCAATTCTTTGTTGAAAACTTTCTGGTGTTTCAAAGATGAGCCCACACACTACTAGGAAAATGTGATTAAAAGATAAGTACAGCCAACAGAGAGCTGTTGGCTGTAAATCCAAAAAACAAGTGACTTTACACAAAGGCTCAACTCCTTGGGACTCTTCCTTGCATTCTGCATTTCCTGAGAAAAGGTGAGATGGGGAAAGCCAGTCTTCATCCTAGACTTTACACAAAGGCTCAACTCCTTGGGACTCTTCCTTGCATTCTGCATTTCCTGAGAAAAGGTGAGATGGGGAAAGCCAGTCTTCATCCTTTCTCGGAAGTGCATTAGGCCGGCCACTTTTGATGTTTCCCCTAACGTCAACCAGCCTGCCCGGAGCCGTCTGCGCCTCAGTATCTGACATGGCCAAACACACTGCAATTGTGACAAATTCTGAAGCTCTGACTGAGAAACAGAAACTGCTTTATATCTTAAAGAATTTAAATTCCCCTTTGGATGTCCCCCTGTAGGACGAAGATCTTACACCCCTTCTAATAGATATATCACAATAATTATATTTTATACACTAAAGGTAATTTTAGTCACACTACTAGTCTCTTAGTAAAGGTCAAAGTACACACCCTGTAAATCTTAAGATCCAGTTTAGACAATAGTTTTTAGAATAAATGTTGGGTGGTCATGGTAACCATCCTTTAGGCAATTATGTAAAGGCTCAGGCCTTGGTAGCAGTCATTGAGGGTGGAGGGATTTGGGCGTAGTTGGGATAAGTTAGTCTTTAGCATAGAAAAGGTCTAGCTGTACCCTGGAGCATAAGAATTATGAGGAAGTAAAACCCTGATACTAATGGAACAATGGTTAAACTGCCCGGTATAAAAAGGGGCATGCTGTAAAATAAAGTGAGACACTTCTTGAAAAAGTGCTCTTGTGTCTCCCCGCGTTGTTTCCTCGCAGACGCCGACTCTGCCTCCACCTGAGGGAATCACTGGACCTGCGGGAGCCGCACCAGCCCTCAGTGCCAACTGGAAGAATTAAACATTGGCATTTCCTGAGTGCCTCACAGAAGCTTCTCGCTTGTTTACTGCAAAGCTGAAAGGAGGGGTGGGAGTGAATTCTCCAGGTGCAACATCTGAGCTGAGTGGCAACCTCTACCTTTTGCAAGGTGCCCCTGAGGCCCTAGGCTGTAGGAGTGATTTCTTTCCATAGGGCATCCAATGCCCACTGTCTTGGACCCTGACCAGGATCTTAGGGGCAAGAAAGAAGAGGCAGCACTGAAACACTCGCTCCTTTCCGGTTAACATGGGCCATCTATCCCAGAAACACACGGACAAGTAGAGCCAGCCCACGCCCACTTGATCTGATGGTCATGTCACTGATGGTCCAAAGGTGCAGGATTTTCAAAGCGTTTTAAATCAGTTTCACCCACTGTCTCTCCTTGAGCTAGAAGGCCCATGCTAGCATCTGATAAGTGAGCTCATGTTTGATATTTAATCCAGCATTTATGCACAGAGAATGTGAAACAACACAAAACTGCCCACATGAATTAGGTTTCATCAACACACACCCCTCCCCCATTTGACCTATTGGAAGGGGGAGAAGAGCATGTGACTGGTTGAAGAAATACTACTTTCAAATCGCATGTTCTTGCTTCCAGGTCCCATGGGAGCTTGAACTAATGATAAAGCCAAGCTCTGCTGCTTTGAGCAGACGAGTGGATAAGAAACCCTTGCAAAAGCACAGTCGGATGAAAATGTTCCAGAATTTGATAGTGGTGATGGGTGCACAACTTTGTGAATAAATCAAAGATGGAGTTGTAGACTTTAAAAAGGGGGGTTTTTATGGTATTACTGTGAATGCTATCTCAATGTTTTGTTTTTTGAATAAATGCACACTCAGAACTAGGATTCCCCATGGGGGTTCGGGCCCTTCTTGGCTCTAAGCACCTGCTCTAGCAAAACACTTCTGCTGCTCTCAGGGGCAGAAGAGCCTGTCAGCTCCCCTGGCAGTACCAAGGTGGGGACGTGGAGTCAATTCCAGCTCTGCCAACTTCCAGCTGTGTGTCCTTGGGGACATAACCCTCTTCTACCTACCTCATAGCCTGGAGAAGTCTATGGACCATCTCACGTACAGCAGGAATGCAGGACGTGCCGACTGTTAGGGTCCACTTCTGCAGAAGCTTAAACCCTGGTGAATGCAGCCCACTGCTTCTCACCTCCTGAGATCACAGCACATCCTGGGGAAGGGGGCAGCAATTCAGGATCTTTAGAGGCTGACACCAGGCCTTGTCTAAGTTTTTCCCTTACTTAAAACCTTGAACCCTAATTTGTACCCACGCCTTGCACCCCACTCCTGTCTTTACCATTTCCTCACTGGCTTCTGGGCCCTTATACCCCCCACCCCATCAGATATTAAACTCAGTCCCTCAAGAGACACTAAACCATGTGCTCTCTCTACAGAAACAAATGTTCCAACCCCACCATCATACATTAAAATCTTACGACCCTTGGGTATGTCACTGATCTCTATTTCTATGCACTGTTTTAGTTATGGAAATTTTATCATACATTGCTTTGTGGTCATTTTCTTACATGAACTGTAGTTATATTTTCAAGTTGCAAAAAAGAAATCCCATTGATGGGAACTTCATTTAGTTTATAAATACTGCACAAATGTGAGGGCCACCTACTATTAGCCTTCCTCACAAACATAGGTTTTCCCATTTGGGGACGTGGCTTGTCTTTCCATTTACATTGATTCTAATGTCACACAGTCAAGTTGTAGACGTAGCTTGTTATTTCTAGGAATTACATGGGTTTTGTTGGGCTCTACTTCCTGTGTATTGTTAATGAGTAGGAAAACTATTGATTTTTATTAGTAGTTGGCTCCCCTGTGAAATTATTCTAAGTTTTTCAGTTGTTTCTCCTGGGTTCTACCCCAAAAGATTATCTGTACAGGCTTCTCTTTTCTAATGTTTCTAAGAGTTCTTGCTCCATTTTCTTACCTAGTTAAGCTTCCTGAATGATGCTGAAAAGTGGAGACAGAGGTCATCCTGTGTTGTGCCCCAATATAATGGGTATACCTCTAGGAACAAATTAGTTCTTTACATTTGCTTTCTAAATTTAGCTTACAAAAAACATTTGGTAATAGGAGATCTGTGCGTACTAAGACAAATTTAGAGGGTTTGCAAAATAGAACTTGCTCTTAGGAGTGACTGGCCTCCACTGTGACCCGCTGGCCAGAGCTTGTGATAATGCAGCCACTTGTAAACGCAGTCAAAGGCCAGAATATGGAAAGTTCCGATGTCCACTCCTGTACCCTTACTAGGGGCTTCGTCAGCAGAGCTGGGGAGACCTGCAAAGACTGGGTCCCCAGCTTTGGAAATAGCAACTCATAAGAAGCTGAATAATATTGAATGTCAACTATAATTAAATATATATATATATATATATATATATATATATATATTCACAGGATATGGAGTGCAGCATAGGGAATAGAGTCAATGGAATTGTACCAGCTATATACGATGTCAAAGGGGTAGTATATTGGGGGACAGGGTTATCACTTTGTGAGGGGTGTGAATGTCTATTACATTGTTTTGTACACCTGAAACTAAAAAAAAATAAAATAAAAAAGCTACCAGGAAGGTTCCAACATCCCCATTCCAGCCCTCCAATCCTGGCTGGTACTGTCTTCCCGGCTGTAGGCAAGCTGTGAGTTAGATACAGAAAAGCTGATCTGGGTTTCAGCTTACTGGAAAATAAGGATCGCCATTTCCATTATAATTTTAAATGCCAGATTGCTACGTGGAATGTTTTTGTAGATTACACTAAGGTTAACTGCATCTTAACTAGCTAGAAATCCCTCCCATCAGTGTTCTGAAAGCGCAGCAACGTCACTGGACTTAGAAGTTCATCATGTCCTAGAGCAGCTCATCACTTAAGCTTATTTCCACAGTTGGCTTCATTTAGAACTGACAACAGAGGGATTTTAATGAGTTTGACAGGGAAAGAACACCCACACAGGATTTTTGGTTTTCTTCCCACATGGGTTTTAAAAAACCTGGTTTGGTTTCAGCGCATTTCTTCATTGAGCCTACAGAAACAAACAAAACACTAGCACGCCATCAGACTCGTTAGTGAAAATGTATTTCACGTGAAACACAATGTACACATCATGCAAATGAGGCATCACCACAGTCACAATGGTATTGTGAGGTACAACAGATCACAACAAAACAGACCTTTAGCAAAATAAAGCTGAAAGAAAGATGGTGAGGCATTTTTTGGAAAGTCAGATTATGCTATCATTTCGTGTGCTTGTCATAAGAGATTTTCCCCGACAGTCATCACGATCAGTGGCACTGCATTAGTGTAGGCATATATTTTATTTAGTATATACACATACACAAACATACACAGTTTCCATAACTAATAAAGTCTTAAACTGTAGCTGGTTTTCAAAGCACATAAACAAGATGATTACTACTGAGACGTCTTTCCGAGCTCTCTACTGTACGAATCAAAAAAAAGTTTCAAAGAAGAAAAGATCATTTTAATCTGAAAGTCACATTTCACCACAAAATAACAAAATAAAAAAAACAACACCTTATTATATGGCATAAAATGCATGGAGTATACATTCTAGCGTCATTTGTCCCCCGTTCAGATGATTTTAAGTTCAAGTCTGTTAAAGTGACATACTTGGTCCAGTTCAGGGCCTCCTTGTTTAAGAGCATAAGATTTTCATTTGTGCCTGGTTTTACCAGAGTTGAGCAAATACAGGAGCAAACAAACAAATCCCCAAGATACAAGAGAAAAACAATAGCAACAACATGAAAACCAAACAACACCTGTGCATGAGACACACAATTCATTCAGTCCAAAAGCCACTGGATGGTTTGGAGTGACTACAGCTTGGAGATTTTAAGGTGCCACATGAAAAGTTTTTTGCTAGATTCAGCTGCCCGTGTCTATAAGAATATGCATAAGAAAACAGACATCACTTCACACTGTTTAATGGCTTCCTTACTCAACCAGGTTTATTGTTAGCCCCCCCAAGGAGTAGCCGGGCAACACATTTTGCAGGTGATTAAGCTTAATAATGAAAAACAGCTTCATAATAGTAACTGCCCAACAAAGAAACCCCAGGGGGGGGAACCCTCCAGAATTTCTTCTCCTTTTAAACACACATAAGGAGATATGCAGCCCAAGTTCAGTATATGTTTAAGGAGAGTCTGGGTAAATGTCTAGAATATTTACAGGAAACATCTAAATGTTCATGTGCTCCAACTTTGGGAATAAGAATGGTTACAAGATGAATTTCCAAGTAGGAAAGAAAGGCTGCGTTTGGGAGGATCACTATGATAATAGAGTAAGTAGTACAGGAAGCGCTTTATCAGCAGCAGAAGCTCATAAATAGAACTGTAACATGAAACTTTGCTAAAGCCCGACAAGGCTAACGGCCGCAAGGTCTCTAACCAAGGGTGGCCAGTGTTTGACATACTAACTAGGAATACATTTACGTTTGGATCTAACACTTTGGAATCCAGTGGTTAGGACAGCAGGAGCTTCCTCCGAGGGCCGGCAGCAGATCTGACCACCAGCAGCTTCAGGGATTCTCCAAACACCACCTGTGTCAATTCACAAACAAATCCTGGTGAGACGAATGAAGAGAGGAGTATTTTGCAATTTGTGGTACCTATTCTCTTTCTCTACAATGCTCACATACTATAGGACTTTTTGCCTTCTTGGTAATTATAATTTCCTTATCTCTCTCAACAGGAGTGCTACATACAGTCTTTTGTGTAGGCCTATTCTTTTAGGTGGGCCAAATTTTCTTAGTGTGAGACTGTCCTAAAACCTGCAGGCTGTTTCAAGTCCCAAGCTTTGTTTTCCAAATGTCAGTGTTGCTCCCAGCTGGGGTGACAACAAAACCCCTCGATACATTTCCAAATGGGCCCCCTCAGGCGTGGTACCACCTCTAGTTGAGAAGAATTTGAGAACTAGACTACATGACAAATGAAAATATACAAGCGGTGTGAATACAATTATTTAGCCAAGAAATTTTTTTTCTTTTTGGACAGGGATTTTGCACCCTCTTTTAGTTAGAGATGCAGAAAATAGATTCGAGGAGCCTAAGTTTTGTGTATTTCCTGGTCCTTACTGAATAGTGAGGTCAGCGAACTGAAGGTTTGAAGGTATGCTAACAACAAAAGACGCTTTATACCGAATATTAAGCCACATAACTGTCAGGGAACTAGACTGTTCAGGTGGTTTTTGGTTTTGAAGTGTCCAAGAAGGCAGCTGCTCTTCCAGACCAGGGATACGGTTTATTCTAAAAACTACCTGCCACGCATTCCCTCTCATGTGTGGAAGAACCACAGCTGCTTTCTCCAGAGCCAAGAGAAGCAAACTCTGAAACGCGCTGTCTGCAGCCAATGGCTGAAGGCGGCTAGAAATAAGGACATGCCACACACCAACCTGGGCCTTCTGGCCTCCCCAACCTACTTCCTCATTTGAGAAACAGACTGGACTACATCCTATCAGGCACTGAAGTTTTGTTATAGGAGTGGAACATCACAAAAAATAAAGTGACAGAGAATGCTGAGAATTTATAAAAATGTCTTTAAAAGGGTTTAAAGTGGGAGGAAAGTTGGCATTAAGTTATACAAAAATTTGATGATAAATACAAATTATGTTTTCGTCACTGAAAAACAAGCCCCAAACTGAAGGAAATCCAATGTGAGGCGTATGTAAGTAATTGCACACAAATGCAGTGTTTAGAACCCATAGATAAAACTTACTCAAATGAGAAGAGCTTCTAGAAGGTCTTAGGCAAGAAAAAAGGCCAAGGGTGGGGAACAAAAGATTCGAGGCACAAACTTCAGTTCTCCCCCACCCCCACAATCCCTCAGGTATGCTCCAAGAACAGATCAACAGACTAGGAAATCAACTTGGCCCAATACTTGTCAACGTGTGTGAATAATTCCAGATAGAATGTGGGGTGTCACTGAATAAAACTAGGGGAGAAATTCATTTTATTAACACCACCGCCTCGCACCATTATTAGAGCTTTCTCTCTGTGCCTCTAAATAAGGTGCTACTGGAGCCAGATCGTTAGTCAAACTTTTAGCGAGTGCTTTTCAACACACACACATCCCATCCACACACCCCAAAGAGCAGAGGCGGGCTTGGCGGGTGTTGCACTGAAGGCTCCCATAGGAAGGATTCACTTTAAATCCACCTCCATTCTTGTGTGTGCTGCAGCATATACCATATATTCATATTCATGTTTGCATTTTTCAAATAAAACTGACCATCCAGGAGGCTGAGTGATGTTTATCTTATCTTCACAACCCCGTTGGAGAGTTATGGATTTAGACTATCATCAAAAGACTGTACCTTTCATTAAAGAGATGTTGTATTTGTCAACAGAAGGTGTTCAGGGCATTTTCTTGGCTGGGACTGTTAAATCCTTCGATCAGGTTTTTGTTACAGTCATCCAGGCTGAGATTTTCACTGGATCTCTTGGGGAACATGGGGGGGCCGGTGAAATCTAAGAGATCTTGCAGAGCTCGGGCATTACCAGTTCCATTTTGGTCCAGAGACACCCCAGGAATCATTTCACTCACTGGTGAAAATTCTGGGATGGAGATAAGCTCTTCTTTTGAAACAGGACTGGGGGTATGGGGAGAGAAAGGAAGAAGGAGAGGGAGAGACAGACAGACAGATAGATAGAGCTATTAATTCTAATACTTTGTTATACTACTCTTCATTTCTAAAGATGGATTTAGAACCAGAGCTTGTGTATAACACAGCTGTGAAAAATACAAGGTAGTTCAAATCTGAGACGCTGACAGACACAAGGACCCGGGGATGAGAACAAGGGAAGTGGACTGAGCAGAGCTGTGGAGGCCAAGTTCACAGGAAGAAAGAAAATAAGAACCACAGGCACCAGCACTCTACTGTAGAGAAGGCAAAAACATCCAAAACCTTCAAAATGGGAACCCAGACAGAACGCAAATGCTACAAGTTAAAAGCGAGCTGAGGAAGGGCCCTAACTAGCACTGGGGCTCTGGGTGCGGCCTCTCTCTAGGGCCTTGGGTGAGCTGCTTTGCCTTCCCCTGCCTCAGGTTCCTCTGCTGTAAAATGGGACGAATAGCCATTTCTCCCTACCAGAGCTCGTGTGAGCATCGTGTGCTCGTGCTGGGGGAGGGTTCATTCGGAGGGTTGGGGCCACAGTTCACAAGGAGCCCACCATCCCCCTAAGTCACCTGCACACTGAATCTCTCTCACTGCTCCCTCTCTAAAGCGAGGCTTCCCATCCCCCCGCTGACTTATACAGCTCCGGCCCAGCAGGCCTGGTTCTGTCTCTCTTCTCCCTAGAGACGGAAGGAGTTTCATGGCTGTGTCAACCACAAGCCTAGCTCAGGTGAGTGGTGGCCTGCAATTTGAGGGCCTGTTACCTGCAGTCTCTCTTAACAGCCAGAGTAAGGCTGCTGCCAGGTTCGTCTGTTCTTTTGTTCCTTGATAAGCTCTTAGAGAAGAATCTAGAAAAACCCGCTGAACTGCAGAAGCTCCAGAAGCTCTGAGGAGCCGTCTCCCTCACACTGAGCAGCAGCTGACACCACTTCTGGCGGCTGGAGCCTGGGCACACTGCCTCATTGGCAGAAACATCTGCCCCACCTCCATTCCCTGGATTTAAACAGCTAGCAAGACCTTGGGGAGGAGAGAATGTCACAAGCTTGGGCGCAGCCCCCAGGAATCCCTTCCCTTCAAATGCAGAGGTGGCCACAGGGAGAACTCGGTGCACACACAAATCCCCTTCGCTTTCCTGAACCTGGGCAGGTGCCATGTCTTATCCCCACCCCTCACAGACATAAAGAATAAGCACAGCTGGCTCAGCATAAGAGTGGGGGGAAGAAGGTTGTGTTAACCTTGAAGATGCCACCGCTGTTTTCCCCTGGGGGCAGAGTGGCACCAGTTAGGGGAAGCCTGCCATGATGGTGGCCGGTGGTGGCAGGGGAGCTGGAGGTAAGGGCTGAGGAGGCCCTGCCGTCACTCTGAGCAGGACTTGCCCTACTGGGGACGGGGTTGCTGGACCCTGGGTTTTCACATATCTGGCTCAAGGCCAGGGTGCACATGCTGGGATATTTACCATGAGTCTGCCCTGGGAAAGACCCTCCTCCCCATGCCCCGCCCCCCAGACTAAGCTGAGAAGTCACCCAAGGAGAGCAGAGTAAGCTCTCCAGGGTGGAGCTCTGGCAGAGCTTTTGCACAACAGTCGGTCCCTCCTGACTCCGAGAGCCGCCCCCCCACTCTAGAGGCGCTGCGCAGGGCTCTCAGTTCCAGTGCCTCTGCCCCAACCCCTCGTGAACAGAGTTCTCCTTTCATCTGGGATGAATCTGCCACGTGATGTCATCCACAAACATACCAGTGTATGAATTCCTTACGTTTTTAGAATCCGAGAGCAAATTAGTTCCTTTAACAAGTCTCTAATGACAAGTTTACTTGAACATGAGACACTGGACAAAGTGGGCCCTGGGGTGCCTGACCCAGATCTCCTGTACCTGCCGGCGCCCCCATCCCCCCCAGCTGCAGAGTTGGCAGCTAAGGACTCAGTGTTGCCGCCCTTTTTCTTGACAAGTGCCCCACGCTCAGACAGTACACCTGCATCCATCCACCCTGAGTGGCCCACAGCCAACGGCTGACAGATAAGGTGGCACGAAGGCTGCCCATCTCTGGTGGATTCATCCTCCAAAGGTCCCCTGGGACCAGCGGAGGCAGCATCCTTGCCTAGTGCCTTCCCCGTCCCGGACTGCTCCCTCCACTTTCTCCTGAGAACTGTCTCTGATAAACCCCAGGCCCTAGGCCCCCTGCCTCAGGCTCTGCTTCTAAGGAGCCTGACCCAAGACACTAATGTGCCACTGAGAGCTTTCCTGAACGGCACCCGCACCTACTGCAGTGATCTGGGTGCGTAAAGCACAAAGAGATGAACTACGAGGCAGTGGGGGTGTTTGGGGGAGAGAGATGAACCGCAAATGCAAAAGAAACTGACTGACCTCACATCCATAGACTGAACTTCTTCAGTTGAGTCATCCAGACTGTTTGATTTCCCATCAAGAGCTTCCAGATGAACAAGTCCCCCAACTGGTTTAAGCCCATTGGAGAAAACGTCTCGGGGGAAAGTTTCTGGGGCAGCCCGCCCCACGCCGTTAACTTCCTGGCAGGTGCTCAATCCATTGATTTCTGATGGAGAACACAAACTTATCCTGTTAATCACAAAATACCCCAAACAATGGAGCAACAGAGGAAATATATATCGAGGCCATTAATTTAATCCTCTGTTTTTACCAACAATGCAACATCTTTTGCAAAAAGAACCCCAGGTAATCATCTGCACGCAGTGGAAGAGAAGACGAATGATATCGCCAGTGTCTGTGCAGGGCTCATCACCCACCCAGGAGGCCTACTGTCATACACTGTACAGGTCCTCAGGCTCTGGGAGCAGGTTCTTGAGCCACAAGGCGAAGGAGAAATGTGAAGAGTAACTCTGAGATGGGCACACCTTTTCTGACTTTGGCTGCTATGAAATATTCTAACCTTGGAGTTTCGAGTGCACACGCTAGAAAAGAGATGGACTGCCCAGGAGTGTGGAAGACGGGAGAAGCCGCCATAGAACAGCCGTCAGTTGTTAACAGAACCTGCCCAGCAGTCAAGCTGCCTGGCAAGCCGCAGGGGCCAGCAGACAGGCAGCTCCAGTGCTGGGATGATGAGAGTAACCGAGCAACTCAGTGGTCCCCAAATAGGCCTGACAGACCTGCGCTGGAGACGGAGACTCCACTAGGGAAGGGAAACTGTGCAGGCCCCTTCCAGCAATCACACTGTGAGGACCCACGGGCGCTTGCTTGTCCCCTGCAGGAAGTGCCTCGAGCTCTCAGGCGCCGAAAGAAGAATCTAAGGACTAGAGCACAACTCACCTATTTTGTCTGGGACAACTGGCTTTGTCTTATTTTCCACACGCACAGCAGGCTGAAGCTCCACTTTCAGGTCTTCTTTCTGAAAACAAATCGAAGGGAGACTGACTTTACACAGAAAGACAAATGCTTTTGAAAGCATCAGAGGGTTTCTGGAACCATGCTGGGCCATCTGCCAGCTCCAGGATAATTCTTTGAGTCTTCTGAGCTTATTACAAATAAGCTGTGTTTCCCTTGGTAATAGGTCACCATTCTCTTTTTTATTCATGGACTACTATGTCTCCCCTCGCCCCCCACCCCCGTTTCTCTGAGGAAATTTTTAAGTGACTCCATCTCTGAAACGCCTCTCTCTTCAGGCACCTACAGCCTCTTTACTCTAGCCAGGAAGAAAGCAGGAAGAGTCCATTTTGTCTGGCTAATGCTCTCCAAGACCTAGCAAAATGGATTCTGCTACTCTTTTCTACTCAGTACACGAACTATTAAAATGGTACTCTCTGAATGCCTACCTTCACTTCTGGAGACACGTCACTCTTCCTTGTTCTCTTCATGATTTCATCTATTCTCTGGAAACCAAAAAAAGCCAGGTAAGAGGACTACATGACCAAAAACATATAAAAGTAGCTAAGTCTACATGCAATTTCACATTTCTCAGAAAATGCAAAGTTTTCCATTGGTTTTGTAGAGGTACCCCTCTGCCCTATGAACAAGGTCAAATGCTTGAGAAGTGAACTAGTATCTCAAGTCAACATTGGATTTATATCGCATCTCTCTCCTCCCGCTCCTTAGGTTCTGACGGGAGCCGTCTGCGCCTCAGTATCTGACATGGCCAAGCGCACTGCCACTGTGACAAATTCTGAAGCTCTGACTGAGACACAGATACTGTTTTATATCTTAAAAAATTTAAATTCCCCTTCTGATAGGTATATCACAATAATTATATTTTATACACTAAAGGCAATTTTAGTCACACTACTAGTCTCTTAGTAAAGGTCAAAGTACATACCCTGTAAATCTTAAGATCCTGCTTAGACAATAGTTTTTAGAATAATTGTTGGGTGGTCATGGTAACCATCCTTTAGGGCATTATGTAGAGGCTCAGGCCTGGTAGGTCGGTAGGTCGCAGTCATTGTAGGTGGAGGGATTTGGGCGTAGTTGGGATAAGTTAGTCTTTAGCATAGAAAAGGTCTAGCTGTACCCTGGAGCATAAGAATTATGAGGAAGTAAAACCCTGATACTAATGGAACAATGGTTAAACTGCCCGGTATAAAAAGGGGCATGCTGTAAAATAAAGTGTGACACTTCTTCTTGAAAAAGCAGCACTCCTGTATCTCCGTGCCCAACTCCGCCTCCACCTGAGGGAACCCCTGGACCTGCGGGAGCTCCCGCAAGGTTATGTAAAAATCAACAAATCACCACCTGCCATTCAAGAGGACCACCCTACAGAAAGCAAGGCTGAGGTACAAGTCAGGATGGGGGGGCGGGGAGGAACCACAGATTGGCCTCCCAGCTCCCAGGCCTACAGCAACACAAAGCCCAGGCTGGAACTAGGACACAAGAAGGATGGACCTTTATAATCAGCCTCCTGAAACCCAACTCTATCCATAAGTGCATTCAATGTAAATGGACTACACATTCCAATATAAAGACAAACACTTATCAAACTGGATGAAAATAACAAGTCCTGACTATATGCTGGTTACAAGACTTATGCTTATAAGGACACACATAGGTTCAAAGTCAAAGGATGTAAAAAGATTTACTGTGCAGATGCTAATCCTTAAAAAGCTAACAAAGAGGACTGTAAGACAAGTATTAGTAGAGATAAAGAAGGATATTTCATAATGATAAAGGTGTCAATTCAACAGGAAAATTTCACAATTTGAAATATATATTCACCTAACAGCAGAGCTTCAAAACCTAAAACAAAAGTTGATAGAACTGGAAGGAGAAATGGACAAATCCATAATCACAAATGGAGCTTTTAACACTGCTCTCAGTAACTGATAGAGCAAAATGACAAAACTAATTAAGATATAGAAGATACGAGCAGCCCTATCAGTGAACTTGACCTATTTGACAATTCTAAGATCACTCTACCCGACAACTGCAAAAATGAGCTGGACTTACTTGCTGTTCCGGCCTCACCCTAAGCCCCACTAATCCCTTGGCCCTTACCTTCTTCCTCTCCAGTCGCTCCTGCTCAATCTGCAGCATGATCTGTTCTCTTTCTAGACGCATCTGTTTAGCTGCCTCCTGGGCCTTTGCGTCGGCTGCTTCCTTCTGATAGAAACAGGTAAACCAAGGCTTTACTAAACTAGGAAAACACTGGAGTAATTCCCTGAGGTTTGTACATGTGCCCGCACCTCCTCATCTACCCCAAAGAGGGTGCCGCCACGATATTCAATGTGGATTTACACAGCCAGCTCTACCACGCAGCAGACATGGCTGGGCCTCACTCATGCCCTCAGTCCCCACGCAAATAACCTGCATACAGTTCCCATCCATGGCCAGGATCTCCGGCCATGAAGAATATGTGTGGTCAGGAGTTTCAGGAAGCTAATTCCCCAAGGACTGACCTTCAACCATGAGAGGCAGGAGTTGGTAGATAAATAACTGTTTCCTCAGCCCTCAGAGGGACAATTCTAAGGCATGTTGCACTGTCTCTTAGTCCCAAAGGGTGAGAGCTCCAGTTGCTCACAGTAACCCACTCATCCATGTGCTTACATTGGCTTCCCTCTAGGTCCCCTACCAGCTTCCAGGGATCTTCTCCCAAATAAACTACCGGCACCCAAATTCTCATCCAGGGTCTAGCTTTGGGGGAGCCCGAACTCACATATAGCGAACATTACCAACTTCACTTTTACTGCCCAAAGTGACTCATATTTAATAACCAGCCCAGTTAAACACTTCAAGTGAATATTACGGGTTATTCAAATTTAACTAATTTTACTTAGTATTAACTAAGGCCCTTAAGGAAAGGCTATATGAAAACTCATACAGTACCTGCTTTTCAATCATGGCTTTTTCTTGCTTTTCTTTTTCTTGTTTTTCTTTTTCTTGCTCTTCTTTCAACAACAGCTCTTCCTTGGCCTTCCTCTTGGCCTCCTCTTCCTCCCGTCTTTTCTCTTCCTCTTCCTGCCGCTTCTTTTCCTCTTCCTGCCGCTTCTTTTCCTCTTCCTGTTTACGGGCTTCCTCTTCTAGGCGAAGTCTTTCCTCCTCCGCCTTTCTCTTCAATTCCTCTCTCTCCAGCCTTTTGAGAACATAACTGTTGTTAGAAGACAATGACGTGCTCAAAAACCAAAGTGCCAAAGAACGGTGTGCTGACAGTAGAGCATAATGTGCGACAGAGTCACAGACACGTGCACTTGAATTAGTATCCGCTTAAGAAAATGACTCATCCTTCCCGGAAAGCCACTCCAGTCCATATATTTACGGAAAAGGAAAAAAAAAAAATATATATATATATATATATGTTGGGTTGTCGGAAAAGTCGTGATGTATTCTTTTCTGTTTTTCATTGCACAAATGCGTCATGACTTTTCCAATAACACCATATATATATATATATAAAACCAGTCAGCAACTTAAGAGCAGTGACTGTGAGATCAAAATTTCACTTTGGGTTCTAACTGGTATATGAATTCTGAAGCAGCAAATGGAAGAAAATGCTCAAAAGAAACGACATTTAATACAGAAATTAAAATATCTATTTCCATTTATTTTGGCAATCTTTAAAAATCTATTTTAGCTTTTATTCTTTGCTATATAAAAACTAAGTGGCATTTAGACATTTTTCATCCACAGATGAATGGATGGTGATGTGATAATGAACTCTAAGCAGTGAGGGAAAATTCTGCAACGTCGAAGCGCCTGTTTTTACATTTCTAACGCTCTTCTTGCTCACACACGTTTCACTTTCCTCATCTATAAAAAAACGTGAGAAATCATATTCATCTTGCAATGTGTTACTGACTGGCAATGTGACATATGGGCAAGACCAAGACTGCGTTCTGACTGTGCCACTCACTGTGTGACCCTTCCTTGGAAAGTCACTCAACATTTGTGATGCCCATTTAAAAAATGGTAATAGCTGTATTATTACTGGCCCCACAACATCACTGTGAGGATTAAATGAGATAATAATGCATGGGGAGCACTTAGGACAATGCCCGGCTCTAGGCAGATTCCCCAATGCTAGTTTGTCTTATCATTCCAAGTGAATCCCCCCTCCAACTCCCAATGTCCTTGTAAGAGAATCTATCAATCTGTACGTTTTTCAGAAATTACCTTTATTTGGAAGCATGTGCCACTGACTTACTGGGTACTTTATACTGTTACAAGAGGACCAAAACTTACAAAGAACATTCTTCCATCCTAATGGTTGGCTTCAGGAATCATGGAGACAATTAACCTACATGTCACCAAAGAAATATTTTAAAAGGTAAAGAAATATTTAAAGACATTAGTCTAAGACTAACAGTATGTGATAACATATTCTACATTAGCAGGGGCTGCAGTGCCCCCAAAATGGCTGGAAAATCTGAAATTATTACCATATATTCTGGAGATCTCTAGAGAAGAGCATTATGGGGCCTAATCAGAAAGCAAGTCCAGTCCTTAGAGTCCTCAATGACAGACTAAGTACACCCAATACAGGATCATTACACATGGCCATGTGGAGAGCAAGATTTATCCAGAGGTTAATCAGAGCACTGTTTCAGTTCTCATCGCTTTTAAGGAGCCCAGTGTGACTTGTCCCAGAGAAGTTAACAGAAAAAGGATACGTTGTGTGTGATTTAATGCCCAAACTGCTTCACCTTTATCTTCATCTTCAGGATCTGAAACGCCACTGTTGTTCCTGTTTTACCATGAGGACTTTGGGGATGCCCCATGCACACACACACACACACACACACACACACACACACACACACGAAGTAAGAACACATCCTCTTGGTCCCTAAGTCTCCATAATCACCTACAGCAGAAATTCCTCCCCCCAGACCCATTAGCCCATTAGCCCCTGCCTGTCACTCCGGATACAGACAAAATTCCATCCATTAACCACACTCTGCTTCCCCCAGAGTAGGTCAAAACTGGCTTCGCCTGTGTGAAGCCGAGTCCCTCAATATCCTCTCCAAGGATGAACATTCTTTCTCTCCCTGCTTAAAGAGCCAGAGAGAACATGGACTCAGGCATTCCCCATAGCCCCTCTGCTACCAGCTGCTCCCACCCCAGTGCCTTGCCACCGTTACCCAGTTCCCTCCCGAGTTCACCAGATCTGTGTGCACTGCGTTCCTACCACTATCCATCTTTCTTCCATCATTTCACCTTTCCACAAGTTTCTTTCCACAGCCTGTTTTTTACTGTTTTTCATTGCAAAAATGCATCATAACTTTTCCAATAACTCAATGTGTGTGTGTGTGTGTGTGTGTGTGTGTGTGTGTGTGTGTATATGTATGTATATATATATAAAACAACTCTCATAACAATATATATAAAAACAACTCTCGGGCCCGCTGAGTGGCTCAGTTGGTTAAGAGCTCGCTCAAGAGTTTGAGCTCTGAGCAACAGCGGTTCGAGTCCTGGCCTGAGCTGAGCAGCCACTGAGCTGCCAAGAGGTGGCAGGATGGCTCAGCTAAAACAAAAAAACAAAAACAAAAAAACACAGCTACCAAAAAAAAATAAAATAAAAAAAATAAAAACAACTCTCCTCTGCCTTCCAGTCACAGCCTCTGGACGTCTGGCTGACGTTCAGGGCCTCCACCCTCTCTCCCCTCTTCTAAACTGGCTTGTATCTCCACCATCTCCACAATTTTCCTTCAAAACCTGGGTTCCTCTCCTAAACGCCAAGACCAACAGCCTGTCCTCAGCCTTGACATGTCTTGCAGACTTAGACAGCATCAAATGTCCCTCCTGTGAGGACCTCTCCCCAGCCCAGTGCCCATGAGGCTGTGTCACCCCGGCTTTTCCTTCCTGCCTCGGCTGTCACCACACCTGCCACCCCACATTGGATAGGCCCACCTGCCCCAGCTCTCACCCCAGGCCTGACACCTGGAGGCAGGTTGAGGACCTCTGCCTGCAGTGCCAGGTCTGGGCTAACTCCTGTGTGGCCACCAGGCTTCAGCCTGGCTACGTGACCTTGCTGGTGGGGGCTGCTTAACTGGAATGTCTGTCTATGTGGGCCCCTAGCAGCTATTTTAGCTTCCTAACGTGACTTAACATGCCCCATTTGGGAATCACAGTAAAATCTCTGGCTTGCTAGTTTCTGCCAGTGCCTTCCCCAGGGTGGACCTGGGCTCTAGGCTTCCTTGTTCTGATTCCAAGAATCCTGCTCGGTGTGCTTCTAAGAGAGCCCTGGTATCACTGCTAGTGGGGACTGGACCAGCTTTTGCTCTTCTTCCGAGGCCCAGCAGTCTGGACTCTTGTCAGCCCTTCTGTTCTGAACAGTCTCATCCCTGACGGTGCTTCCCTCACCAGTCTGTGACAATAACCAGCTTTCCACGGTTTAACTCAAATATCTTAATTTTTCTCCATATTGTCTTATCTGGCACACTTCTGTGGCTTCAATTACTGACTCTAAGCACAAAACAGATGTGAGAATGATCTTATTCCAAGGGGTATCTGCTGTGTTCCACCCCCAGGTTGTCTGGTACTTTCTCACCTCCCCGATGGTGCTACACAAAGCTTTACATTCTGGCAAGAGAGAGGAAAACTGGTTTGTGGTCAAGGGTACTGCTCTCATTTTCACCTAAGCCCCAGGAGTCAACCCCATCAATCACCTGGACATTTTGCAGGCACCTTAAACTTAGTTTATCTAAAATCAAATGGATAGTTTTTCTCCTCTAAAACGAATCCCTTCTGTCCTTCCTTTACTGTTTGTTGGGTATACCCTTCTCCTAAGGCCTCAGAATCAAACATTAGCATCAATTTGGAATCGGCCGGCTTCTGTTGGGCTGTGCAAGGCTGCAGACCAGAGCGGGACCACCAGCTGAGGGGAGCTCACCGTCCCTTTTTCCAGGTCTACCTTCACCACACTGCGTTAGCCCTTGCCTTCTCTTAGCCCATGACTGCAATGATGTCTTAGTTGGGTCTCTTCCTCCCTCTCTGCTTTCCTCGTATATTTACTGAGTGCCAGTACCTGTGAAGCAAAGACTGTATGTCAGCCTTTCAAGGTGCTTATTAGGGAGAAGAGGGCCTATGAGCAGACGAGGCTGTGTTAGTCAGCTGAACAGCTGGGCTCAGCAAGGGGGACGAGTGGGAGACATCAGTTCTCTCCCAGGTGCAGGGAGAAAGGCTGCAGACAGGGAGCTAGGCTTGACCTGAGCCTGGAGAAAAGAAGATGTGTGTGGCAAGAAGCATGAGCATACGTGGGGCAGAGTAAAAGCGGAGGCGTGGAATTGCATGATGGGGGCATGTCAGGGAGCCCTGCATGCTGGTGCCAGGGTGCTGGAGGTGGAAGGGAGGGTGGTGGCCAGGTTAATGGCTGGCTCTGGAGGCCTGTTGATGGGTTCGTATGGATCTTGTGGGCAGGGGAGTCGCTAGCTTCTTAAAGAATGGGAGCATGACAATGACACTTATGTGTGAGTAGTCACTGGGGACACAGTATGGACAGTGGACAAGCTCTGGGAGACCTAGAGCAGGGATTTCAGCTGGGGTGCCACAGACACAATCCAGGTGACAGACAACAGGGACTGGAGCTCACAGGGGAGGAGGGGCTGGAGGGGAAGGGAAAGGAGAGAGATGCTGAAGAGGCATCCCGGACGGGCCTGACAACTGGTGGGAGACCGAGGAGGACGGCAGGGAAGAGCTGAGAGCTGCCTCTGGCACTTCTGATTTGGGTGCTTGGAGAGCTGGGGGCACAGAACCTGTGAAGGGAAAAGGAAGTCTGGGAGGAGGATAAGAAGGTCTGCTCTGGAAATGCACAATTTGAAGAGCACGTAGGACACACTCAAATGAAAGCATACGGCGGTTGCAAACACAGCCTCTAAGCTCCAGACCAGCGCTATCCAAAAGAACTTTCTATGGTGAGGGAAATGTTCTAGAGATTTGTGCTGTCCATTTTGGTAGCTACGAGCCATGTAGCTGTTGTGCACTTGAAATGTGGCTAGTACAGCTGAGGAACTAAAGTCTCCTTAATTTTAGTGAATTTACATTTCTGCAGCCACGTGGGACTAGAGGCCATGGTCCTAGACAGTAAGAAACCAGGCCATAGGCACAGATTCGGGAGTCCCCAACACACGTAATTTAGTGCCTCCCTTGTACCAACCAGGAAGTACTGAAGGTTTACAAAGTAAGATGACATGAGCTTCAGAGACAGAAGCAAAGGGGAAGTGAGAGCAGAGTTGGTTTAGGACACCAAATGCTCAATATGAAAGCAGGGTGTGCAGTGCGAGCCCCGAATCCTTTCAAACCAGCAGCAGTATGAGGGCCCTGGCAGAGCAGGAGAGAGCACCACTGTTCGGGAGGGCCTGTCAGGTAAAGATGGCTGAGGACTGAGGCCCAGGAGACATGTGAGGGGAAGTGGGGTGGACAGAGAAGACCAAGAAGGGGAGGCCCAATGACACGGGCAAGCTAGACAAGGGGAAAGCCAACAGGGACACAGGGAAGAGTCTGGCAGTTAGGAGGAATGGCGAGTGGGAGGTACCAAGACTGAACGCAGCTGAGGAAACAGACAGGAAGTACAATCATTTCAGGAGCTGGGCTGTGAAGAAAATGTGAGAGAGGGTGGTCGCTGGAAGGTAAAGAACCTCACCTTCCTCAGCACACAGCTATGATCATGTGACTCCCCTGGCTCAGGGCCTGCAATTACCAAGGCATGTAGTCTGAGGTCCTGCGATTCATCTTCATCTCCCATGACCTCCCTTCACGCCTCCCGTGGCCCACCCACACCAGCCTAGGCACACCACTCAACAAAAACATCCGCCTGCCGCTGTTGACCAAAAGGCTGGATTGGAGGTATGAAAATCAACAGAGGAGTCCAGAAGTTGAAGAAAGAACCAGCCAGACCTGCCACCCTTCACCTTTTAAGAAACAAATCAGCAAACCTGTAATCAGAGACCACAGAGGACTTGCCAAGGTCACTTCAGGATCATGAATACATTATCATGTATTTCTCTCAATTCAGTGCCGGGCTTCAAGTGCTGCAGCATGGCCTGCTTCCTATAATGTCAATTCTCTCAATAGTATTGGATTGCACTCTGTGATTATCCTAAAAGCTCCCTTTATCAGTTTAGAGATAAAATCTACCTTGTCCTTCAACATGCATTCCTCTCTGAATTCAAAGATCAGCAAAGGCAGGCTGTGTGTATTTGACCGAGTGCCTGGTATGAACAAAGCAGTGGTTCTCAGACTCGGGCGAGCTGCTGAGCAGGACAGGGCCCAGGCCTGTGTTTTCACTGCATTCCCGGGATGACTCGGACACCTTCCAAAGTTTAGGGACCAGCGCCAAGACGTCTTGTCGTGCTCCAGGATGGGAGTCCCTGTGTCTCACATCCCACAGGCTATAAGGTCGGCTTCCACCCCATCCAAGGGCCTCTGCTCGACCCTCGTCTCCTCACTTGAGGGTATGAATTAGGATAACTGTGGGGCGGGGGCGGGGAAACACAATTAGAGAAGCAGAATCAAAACCTCTACACCCTGTCTTTTCAGGGAGAACCTCATTCTATAAACAAAGCTCAAACTCCCTGGATGGCTCTATGAGGCCTGGCTAGTCCTAGAGTCCAAGAGGGACATGGGATGCTGCTGGTAACATTCAGACCCAGGAGCTACGAGTTTCCAGGTCCTCTGAAAAGAGCAAAGTTCCACTGCCGTTACTGACATCTACTATAAGATGCCGTCTTCTGAGCAGCTGCCATGCACACCTACGCTTCTGCCGAGGTGTTATCAATTTCAAAGCTCTGGTAAGAAAGGTGAGTTGCTCTTTCCACCACAGCCTTTTCCGCGAGATCGCGGCAAAACTCTGAGCACCCCCATACCGGTCTTGTTGCTCCTTCTCCAGCCGCTCCTGCTCCTCCTGCTCCTTCAGCAGCCGGACCAGTCGTCTCTTCTCAGCCAGGATCTTTGCAGCCTCTCCTGCATCGGTGGTGCCTGCTGTGGGCTTCCCTGAAGCTGCATCACAGGAAAAGATGAAAGCAAATGAGACAGTGATCGCACTCACATGGCAGCTGCCACTTGGAAATGAAACACCCAACCCGGTGGGGGACAGGAAATGCTGCAGGACTTCCCCTTTCTCCCCCAAACATGAGACTCCCACCCCCGTGGGTTGGGTCAGAGGGCGAACTGGCCCGGGGAAGCCAAGGCTGGGGCAGTGTCACAAAGAGGGCCTACCTCCACCGCTCTCGGCCTTCCCTCCCGCGGCCGCTGGCTTCTCTGTGACGTGCTTGTCCACCACGTGCTTCTCTGGGGCATCCTCCGCGAGTGGGCCGGTGGCCCGTTGAGCCAGGGCCCCTTCCCTTTCCTTGTTGCTCTTTTCTTTCTCTGCTTTCTTCTTGGGCGTTTCCTGGCTAGGCAAGGAAGGTAAGCGGTACTTCACGGGAGACCCCAGGTATGGCGGCTTCGCATTCTTTGGAGACTGAGGATATGCCTTTGAAGTTGTCCTGGAAACCAAAAACAGGCCAGGAGGTAATCCACTGGGCCTGACCACAGCATTCTCTGTTCCTAAGACACCTGGTTCCAAAAATTTGAACGATTTCATCCGTCAAGAGGAACACATGGTAAGGCTTAGCACACACTCAGAAGTACTATCACCCTAACAGGAACATATGGTAGCTCTAAGATGGCCTTGTGGAAGGGACAATATTTTAGGGAGCCCAGGTGGTGACACCATGTCCTAATTTCACTTAAGTTTGATGACAACGTAAGGATGGAGTGTTAAGCCTTTTCCCACCTTCTTTTTTTAGATGAACACCAGAGCTGGATCTGACTTCAGCATATGGCAATGGATAAGCTGGCTCCTTTGCTCTACTGTAGCAAAATGCACGTAACATAAAATTTACCATCTTAACCATCTTTAAGTGTACAGGTCAATGACATTAAGTACATTCACATTGCGGTGCAACCATCACCACCATCCATCCACAGAACTCTGTGCCCATTAAACACTAGCTCCCTGTTCCTCCCTCCCCAGCCCCTGGCAACCTCCCTTCTACTTTCTGTCTCCAGGAATCTGGCTATTCCAGGTACCTCATAGAAGTGGAACCATACAGGATTTGTCCTTTTGTGTCTGGCTTATTTCTCTGAGCACATTTTAGTAAAAAAAAAAAAAATTCACCTTTACTGAGATAGAACTGACTTCTAGTTCCTTTTTTTAAAAAGATTTTTATTGGGGAATTGGGGGGATGGGAACAATGCTGGGGAATTGGGGGAAGGGGAACAGACAAGTTGCTGTCCTTTTGTTCTTCAGTCTAGTTGTGGA